GGGGAAATCTGAGTCGTGGGGGATCTAGTCGATTACTGAGGTGGTTGGAAGTTGAGCGGGCGCCTAGAAATTATGTTAGCTATCGGAGGCAGAACTCGCTGATTCTCAAACATACTTGAAGAGAAGAATGTGTGGTTCTGGCTCGTGGACTTCGTAGTGTTCCCATCCTAGACTCTGCGCGATTGTCAGTCTGTTGTTTTTGAAGGTGCTACCCATTCACGGCACGCGGGCAAGGGAGTCGTACCTGAGTAATGCCAAGAGCTCGCCATTCCTCCTCCCACAAGAGCTTGAGAGTTCCCTTTGAAGAGTCGTGGTAATCTTTGGGAATGGCCTTGAGCATGGCTTTGGGGAGCTGAACGTGACGGTACTCATATTCACTGTCTGAGTATCTGGCAGAGTAGTGGATCGAGTCGATAAACTCTTCTACGCGGGCGCGTTCCGAGTCTGAGAGAGGTCGAGGCGCCTTATTCCGGCGGGTGGTATCAATGTCGAAAGGCATTTTTTCTGTGTCTGCGTGATTCTTTTTTGTTGTTTATTCGAGATTTGAGGGAGGGGGAGAACAGAGCTCCAAATTGTCGAGGGTGCGGGGAGGGGCACAAGAGCTCGGCCGATCGATTGGTGAGGGCGGGTCAAAAACAGTTTCCGTCGGATAAAGATTCCTCTCAATGTTGCGATACAACTTGACGTCCAAGAGAAGCGCGATTCGGGGTCGACGAAATAATATGTTGTTGTTTTTGGAAATGTCACGCGAGATCGGCAAAGTTCAAATCTTGCGCAGCGCGAGGTTGGGTTGGGTCTTTCGGAGGCGGTCAAAGATTTCCCGGGGTAAGGAACTTTGATATGGAGACGAGGGGTTCGTCTAGAAGCGGTTTGGTTTGGGATCAGAGGAAGCTATTGCCCGAAAGAATCGACGGAAAATAAAGTAAAGAGTCTTTTGAGAAAGGGAAAAAAAAAAAGACAAGGTTTGTATCTTGGATGAAGAAACCAAGTGTCTTTGTGTTGTGGAAGAAAGATGGGAGATGGAGAGAGAAGAAAAAAGAAGAGAGGAGAAAGATGAGGGGAGATACAAATTTTGGTGATGGTGTTGAGGATGACTTTGACTTTTGTTTTGCAAAGACAACCTGAAATGGAAGGCAAGGCAAGACAGGACAGGACAAAAGCAATGAGATGAGAGAACGAGATGAGATGATGGCTGATAGCACTGGAAGGGGCCTATCCAGACTGGGCTTGATCCCTAATTTGGTGGACGATTATTGGTTAGTGGATGATATAGGTGGGGTAGATTGAGTTTTGGAGGGGCAGTCCAAAGTAAACAAAAGATTCTATTGTACCACCTAAATTGATCTACCTTTGGCCTCCCAAGCAACGACTCCCTTGAGTTTGCAGGAGATCTCTAAATTTGATGAGAAGTCAGCCAATCTTCTTTGGTTTGGGATCAAAGTCTAATAATATCCATGGACAACCAATGGCTTCTATCTTCCCCCAAATGTCTCTGATAAGCTGCCCTTGAATCAACATTTTGATGCTTCACTGCCTCTGTAACAAGCCATAGCTTCTATTTACTCTATATAAAACTATCATGCCTTTCGTCTTTACCCCTCCAATGCAACATTGATCGACAGCATGATTCCTCATTTTACAGACAGGGATCTCATCTCCCGTTTTCAGGGGCCCTAACGACCGTTTGATCTTCAAAACAGCCACCCGTTATCAGCCCCATCCCCAACACCCTTGATCAGTCGGCATTTTATAGGACCATTCAATGACACTTGTGTTTACGTCCATGCTACAGTACTGGATACTCTTATGTGGATAAAGGACAGCGTAATAAACATATAATATTGCATTCTTCATTCTCCCTGATACCAATTCTCTGACCCAATGCAAAGAAACAGTTGAGATCAAAGCACGTGGCTCCCACACTTGTCTTATCATCGTCCCCGTGTCTCTCTTGCAGTCTGATTTCTCTGAGCGTTTGTTTCTTAACGATAACTGGAGTCTCCAGAATGGCCTCAACTTGCATTCCTTCACGTTCAGCTGCTGTACCCTCTTCTCAGCTTCGTCTTTTTATCAAGATCCAGGTCACCACGTCATATGATGTCACTGTATTTCTTTTGACCTCCGAACAATCCGTTGACTGACGTTGCTTTTAATGTGGCCATGTTCGTTTGTCCACAAGTTCCGATTCGTATCCCACTACAACCTTTTCTTTTGCCATTGCAAGCCTCTTCTCATTGGACCTAACAAGGTTTCAAGTCTCGGAATGATTACTGGTAGCATAGCAACCTGCAAATTTTATTAACCCCGACACTCTGGAAAGACAACCGAATCTAATCTCAGTCAAAGTCGGCTCACTCGGACGGTCCGGCAGTCTGCTCCTACCATCGACCCTTTCCAGTCAATGACACGCAATGGACCCCGAATCATGACTCAAGAAAAGACGTCGGCTTTGACGGTGCACCTCTTCGACCAGCCTTGAGCGAAATGTGATTCACGACATTTCCAATCTTGACCTTGATTCCCGGCACACTAATCTCCCACTTCCGTATATCGTCAAACTTGGATTGTTTAAACAACCGTAGCGTCTTGAGTGACATTTCATCCCCTGGTAAATGAAACGTCCACCCAATAGAAACGTGAAAAGCGCTTCCGACAGGCTCTTTTGGATCTCGCTGATACAACGTCGGCTGATCAAACTGTGCTGCTACCGAGTTACTCCGTGATAGTAAGCTAGTAAGTTCTGGGTTCAAAGGCATTGATTCATCCTTGGTGACGGCATCACTCGCGACGCGGAGGACGAGAAATGTACGGTCTGAATCTGGTGATCTGAACCATGCTAGGCCGTGTGGTTTGACGGCAAAGGATGCGATGCCGCTGTTGTTAAAGGATTCTGTTATCTTATCTAGGAATTCATCCTTCGTTCCTGTTGTGAGTGATAGTGGGCGTGATAAACTGATATGCAGTGGTAGAGGTGATCCCAGATCGCTTGTCAGGAAATTAAAGAGCTTAGTGTCACTCGACACCTGTTCCTCGATGTCGGCGATAAGAGTAGTGAGAAGTTTGTGCTGTTCGGTAGATGGATGCCCTGGATTGATTAGCTATCGCTCATAATAGGACACGCACGGCAACTCACACTCCGTGTAAACATGACTGGGCCAATTGCCAACTACATGAGGAACCTGCCTCTTCCGTCCCTGATGCAAACTCGGATCATCAACAACACTCTGTCGAACGGTAGAAGCATATAGATCATGAAAGGTATCAGGCAAAGGCGGCATAGAAGAATCCGCCGCAGCTCCGTCTGTACTCTGACCGTCAACACCTTTACGACGTTTGACAGAGCGAGTATCGGGTTCCGACTCGGACCCGGACTCGGATGAAGAATAATCGACGAGAGCCATAGTTGTACGTCATATAGACGTAATTTAATGAATCAAAGTCTAGCTTATCCTGACGGGTAAACGGCCCTTTGGTGTTTGCGCGTCTGGAGTGCGCGTTTGATCATTGAAAGTACGCGGCATTATTCCCGTAGTGGGGTCAGTCAGTATAAACGGTGGTCGCGGCTGAAACTCCAATGACGATTGGGTTCACGTTAGCTTGTTTATGTCTAATACTATTTGCTGATAAAAATATCTGTCACTAGCCTTATGATACTTTTGCTGTCAAAGGTTTGTCATGGCAAGATCCGATATCTATCTGTTGCTGATCAATTGGAATAGGGTAACAATGGGACGTCATGGCTTATTGTTGCGTCACTTGCGGGCCGCACAAGCAAAGTTTTCTTGGCTGTGATATCAGAGATGTGAATCAGAACGAAACAATGAAATGTTTGATTCAATAATTAATGTATATTCATCTCCATCTTTAATGTACAGAGGTTTAATAGCGGTCTGTTGATAGATCTCCACTGAGCATTGATTCAAGTCGCCTAGTTGAGGGTCTGCCAGCTGTCATCCGTTTCTGAAGCGAGCGTTACTGTTTAGCCTCTAGAAAAGCCATTCGATTGGAGAACAACGGCGTCGGACTAAATTGTCCAGGTCTGGTCCCTACAAGCAGTAGCGAGAGAGCTTAGACCTGGACCCTGTGCATTGCTGCATTAAATGCTCAACTGACCTGACCTGACTCTAACGAGGTTCACCTTGTCTTTTTTTTTAATTGTGTTTCTTCATGCTATAGATTGACTGTCTGTTATACATGCCAGTTGTCTTGAGCTTAAATCTCGTGTTAGCTGACGTTGTCTTTCCGAGCCTGCCGCGATTGGAAGAAAAGACACAAGAAAAAGGGATCGGCTCATAAAGTGCGAGACATGACTGATTGACTGAGGGATTGACATGCGGGACCTAGACCTAGCTAAATGTCATTGTGGATGTGACAACTACCACACCACAAGCTACTCTGTACTGTAACGTTTTAGTACCGACTTCGGCACCTCCATTAAGACACAATAAATAAAGTAAAACGCCTGGAAAGTCCCTTTTGTCAAAAAGAGGCGTCGATAGCGGAACGGATGAAGCGGCTAGAATTAGCAACCGCATCACGGGAGCTCTTCTCACCCCGCTATGGCTGTGAATGGGCGCATGATGGGGATGGAGGGGGGACGAGACCGCTCCAAGATCTACATCCATGGACCTCACATGCTCTGGTACCTGTGCCTTACGTATGTACCTTAGAAAATGGAGAGCTTCTCTTTAGGATCATGGTGGGTGCCATGCCGTGCCTTCCCTAAATAAAGAGGCTGCATGTCCTCCCTCCATCCCACCGTTTTGTTTCCGTTCCTTTTCTCTCTCTATACTGTCTTACACTAAATCAAAGGACTTACTCTGTCGCATAACGAACTACAATCACGGCGACGAATAGACATTGCAAAAGACCAATCATCGCATCTGTTTAGTATCACCGCATCGCATCGCAACTACAATCGAATTGACACTCGTCTCAACATCTAATCACCAACAAACCGACCACTCTTTGCGCAACTCGAAGAACCCTTTGTCGCCACCATGACAGACACAAGTGACAAGCAATGGGTAAGTTTTGGACCCTTACCTGAGCTAAATCGATACCCTTGTTCTCCCACCATCATGGCCCATTCTTTTCTTTTCCGTCTGTTCCTTGGTTCAAGCGCTTCAGGGTCCGCTCCCTACCTAAATTAACGTCATCCGAATACTGTTGGAAAAAGACGTCAGGTACCAAAAGAAAAAGACCCTTATCGCTACGTACCGTTGGTCGCGTTGCGTCAATGTCGATCACCAAGATTGACGGCTGCTTGGCTGATTTCTTGATGCAAGCCAAGTAACCAACCATGCTTACTTGGGTCATACCACAGCCCAAAGTACACGCAAGCCCGATGACGTTCCTCAAAACACACCACTATTTAATCTTCATTTCTAACATTGATTAATAGGCCAAGGCTTATCTACTTGATCCTTTAAACGAACCTGAACCAAACCAAGACACCGGTATCGGCAACCTTTCAGCTCAATTCCGCAGTTATTCTCTAGAAAGCTCTAGCTCAACTTCAAGCAAAGGTCGTTCCGAGAGCAAAAACAAGCATCGATCAAGCCGTAAACATCACGGAAGTTATCCTACCCCACCCACTTCTGCCAGTCCAACTCGCGACAGCTTTCACTATTCAAACCCATTCTCAGACGCTGCAGCTTCGCGACGTGAATCATCTGTCCCTTCAGTCTCAATCTCTCCACCAAACTCTCCTCCTGGCCCAAGTAATAACCCATTCACTATTTCTTCGGTCAACCGTTCAGCCAGCGCCCGAGTTCCTGCCCATCGCAGCCGACCTCAAGTCCAGCACAACCGCAGCTTCAGCGCCAACAACTGCGGAGTCTCCCGTCAGCGTTCACTGAACCAAAGATACCCAGGCGACATGTCTCACCGTCCTCTCGACATCCTTAGAAAGGAGGCTCGCGCAGCTGATCGTTCCCCTCATCTGCGACGCAAGCAAATGCCCATGACTGATACCATTGATGCCCTCGATACTATTGGTGGAACCTATCATCATGGCGGTCCCTATGACGCCACTCTCGCAAGCCGCAATCGCAACAAGAAGTACTCGCCCGTCGCGGCTGTAGAGGAGTCTAACCGAGAAGCTCTCCGCGCGACACCAAGAGAAAACATTCAAGACTCTCTCAAGAAAAAGATGCCTCTTCAAGGCACTGCTGATATTCCCAACGGCGAGCGGGACTTTAGTGGAAACATCATCAACTATGAGGAGGGTGCTGATCTCATGAGAGAACCCGACGCCACTGGTGGTGCATACAAGCGTTGGGACGGTATTGTAAGTATTTCTATGACAAACCCTGAACCTTTACTAACTTCTGCAGCAATACCATCCTGATGACCTCAAGGGCAAGGGTGAGCCTTCTTACACATACGAGAAGGACCTCAAGGAACACAAGCGCAACCGTCGTGGTGGACCCGCCGAGTACGAGCTCTCTTCCAACATGGGAACCAGCCAGCGCCCAGCTTTCACCCACAACCGAAGCTTCAGCGAGAGCCCCCGCACAACCCCCGAATTCTCAAACGGCACCGACATTCGTCGCAACAACTCTACAGGTCGTCACAAATTGAGCGACGGTCTACGAAAGCGCTTCGGAAGCATTCGACGCAAGAAGGCTAGCGAAGTTGAGTAAACGACCAATGTATCTTTCTGTTTTATTAAGCTTGGGATTGGCGTTATGGTTTATGTATTTGGCGACAGTTTTATGCTGGGAATGGAATCATGATGTATACACTTGTCAAGACGACATGATGGAATGGGTGTTGTATATGTATCGGATGAAAGACTACTGATATGATATTTTTTTGGTAAAAAGGGTTTCGGGAAAAGAAAGAATGTTTTATACCTGTTTGTTTTGAGATGCTGATAGATAGACATGTAAAGTCTAGAACAGCTGAGTTATTCACTTAAGAGCGAACATCTATCGCACAATTTCGAGGTGACTAATGCATATTACTAGCATTCATGAACTATGAACCGTAATACATGTACACGATAATAACACACGCGGCTATATAGTGACACATTAGGTCAGCGGCGGTTTAAATGCAGGGTAGGCGGGATTCTTGCATTTTAAAAGCCAATATAAAGAGACATAAGCAAAGTCAAATATCATTGTGCGGTAAACTCAGCATCAACTACTAGAGTTGCTTAGGTATCCTTGGCCATGCTAGAAATGGCTTTAGACGTGGTATACTTACCCGCCCACCTATTGTGTGTATAAACGAAGGTAGTCCATGTCCACATGGGATGCGAGACGATCTGTGGTCAGAAATTCACCAAAATAATCTCGTACATCTTGCTAGAGCCACAAGTTTCTAAACATTCTACTTTTAAAGGAAGATAACTTCAAGTTATTCGAGCTTCTCAGAATTGAACAATGCCATTGGGACTGTAACTGAGAAAAGTTGTCACCACTGGACCATCCGGGAAGCAGCGATGTCTGGGAGGCACGGCGCCCGCACACGACGACTTGATGGATGTGAAGGAATCTGGCCGAGTAAAATTGGTGAAAATATGCAAAAAATGACTGCCGCACTGCTACCCAACCCACTGTACAGTCAGCCCTCAGATGTGGTTTTAAAACCGATGTTTTTAACATGGCCACTTCAGCGATGAAAAGCGTTAATAAGAGTGCTCATCATTAGGCGTTACTACAATCTGTGTTATTTTGGTTTATATACCCTTGGCTAGTCTTCATATTATGGAAGGTGGGTGATGCGGGTTGCGTCTTATGTTGGTGGTTCCTTCCCTGATGTCTGGAGTGGTAGCAGCATCACCAGGTTTCGCTGTAGATACTAGGTAGGCGCGTAAACCCTTCGATGCCTGGAGGCGTATCAGATGGAGCAGAACAGCCCAAAAGGCAATGAATGAACAACAAGGTGTCGCTACATTTGACCTGATGCGTCTTTGGTCAGCTATATCAGTTCACAGTGACCTTACCACTTTTCCTAGTAGGCAGATTGGCACCTGAGCGTGCACCATACAATAGGTATGTCAATCTTGTATGACAGGTATGGATGGCAACCCATGGGCTTACCTACCTATGTAATGCTAGATCAAACTGATGTTCCATCGGCAAGAGATATAAAAGACAATGGTTGATGTAATAATCTGGCTCTGGTGATTTTCAGGTAGTTAGTTTGAATCAATAACCAAAATGGAAAAAAGACATAAGGCTGCTTCATCTGAACCAGAAAAACTTCTAATTCCAGGAGGGATAAAACTACTTCGTGAAGAACCTCCGTTAACAAAAACCTAAGCATCCAGATAAAGCTAATAATCGGGGTAGTTTAGGGAAGCTGAAGATGGGGCGAGGGTCGCCGAGACTCTGAATGACGATCTATAGTTTTGCGTGAAGGCATGTGAAAAGGTTGATCAAATCAAGGTGTTGGAGCAAAGTTATTTATTATGCTGCAAATGTATGAGAGGAAGTTTGGTAAAAAGTTAGTGGAGGCGTCATGCAGTGCTGGAGTTGATTGCCTATTATCATCACGTGAGGAAAAGTGTAAATAAACGAGAAACCCCCGTCAAGATCAAATCTTTCCTCATCAGATGTGGTTTCAAGACCGATCAGAAAAGCGTGTTAAAATAGGAGTGGCTCATTCAAAACGTGGGTACCCGGGGGAAATATGACAAGGACGATGATGACAACTGATCCCGTACAGGCATCAAATGAACTGAGTCCTTGAAGTTATTCAGAAATTCATGGTATTTCGAAATGTAACAGGTATTCTATTGTCTTCCAGTATTACGATCAACTATATATGCTCTCCATCTAAAAATACGACATGCCACTCCATCCCAACACACCTTCCAACTCCTCTCTCAATTCCTCAACACCATCATAGCCACCCTTACCCGCAATCTCAGCCTTCTTTGCAGCGCTCAACTCAGCCCACCTCGCCAAAACAGCTCCATCAACAATCGCTCTTCCACCCGCTGCTTCGACGCCTACAGGTCGTATTCCGTCAGGCAACCTATGCGCTTTGGCGTTTAGTCCACCGTGTGGTGTCAGTGCAGGGAGGAGCTGGTTCGTTACAGAGAGGAGACGACGGTATGCTGTTTCGGGGAGAGAGATTAGGCTGGATAGGTGGCCTGAGGAGGATGCGAGGAGAAGAACGTGTGGGGGGTCTTGGGGAGTTGGTTGGCTGGGTGGTGTTGTTCTTGGGAGGAGAAGGGTTGTTGATGGGGGGTTTGGAGAGACGGAGAAGGATGTACGGTGGAGAAGGAGATGGCCTTGAAGAGATTTGGGGTCTGTGTTTTGTTAGCATGTTCTTTTGTTGTTGTGGGAGTAGACTTACGCTCGGGGTTGAACTCGAGGATATGCAAATCACCATCTACATCCGCCGCAACAATAGCAAGATCATCACCGTCAGGAAGAAAATCCGCCACCACAACTGGTAATCTCCCATGACTTTTACCTAGAACCTTAAAAGTATACGGTTCCTCGGTATAACCAGCAAACCACACGCCTTTGAACGCATCAGCCATAAGACAAAGACCAGTGCGAGAAAGTTCGCGCGCGCTGGATACATGGCAGCTCATGTCTAGAAAAGCAACTGGAAGAAGGGATCCGTCCTCCTTGAGACCTCTAACCATGCACTTTTGACCCTGGGCGACGAGCATAAGACCTTGAGTACCGATTTCGGAAATGGCAGTGACGCCGCCGCGGGGAATGTCTTCGCGGGCGATGGCTTTAAGACGTCTGTTTGTTTCTGGTTTGCCGGGCTCAGGGATGACGGTTACAATGTCAAAGACATGTACGCGGCCGCGGATGGGGAGGTCTTCGCCTTTTGACACGGCTGTGCCGACTGCGATGAGGAAACGACGCTCTTTTGTATCTTCTGAGACTTCGAGGTGCAGAGTCTTCATGCATTCGATTGATTCACAGGACTCAAGCTCAATGCCGTGAATGACTGTCCAGGTGATGGGACTAATAAGCTTCAAGACACCACGTGGCATGGTTGGAGGAAAAGAGAGTGTTTCCTTAGCCCACTCCTTGTGATAGTCGTCATCTCTGGGAAGTTCAAACGGTTCGCTTATCATACAGCCTGCGATGTAAGCACCGGTGGGTTGATGATATGCGATGCCGCGAACGTCAGATCCCAGAGGGACTTTCTTGACCGAGATTCCGAGTTCAGTAAAGTTGGTGTCCGACGGGAACTGAGTTACGCGCGCGATGCCCTTGTCGTCTGAGTAAATGAAGCCACGATCACAACCCTCTGTGTGAAACGAGCTCATACCGCGGATACCGAGGCCTTGAAGGCCGATGACGCGAGGAATACTCTTGCTGGACTTGAGGACGAAACTTGGTGAGGAGCCAGGGAGAAAAACGGTGCTGTAGCCGTTGATGTTTGCGCATCTGCGCATGGGCATGAAACGGGGTTGCTCTACGTCGTCGTCTTGTTCCGTTTGGGCGGGTGTTGTGGCTAATGTTACGTTGGACGTCTTTTTGAAGCTGAGTGCGGAAGATAAGTTACTTTCACCGGGTCTTACGTGACGGATAGGTTCGTAGATGGTGAGGTCGTCGGTTTGGTTGCGGAGCTGGTAATGTTAGAGTGATTTGATAAGTATGGAGGGAACTTACGATGAGGTATGGGGATTGAGATATGGTGTCGCCTAGGTCAGCTACCAAGATTTCACGTAGAGTCTCTTTTGCTAATCCTCGTCGAAGTGTGTAATCAGCCGACAAGTGAGGAGGTACATAAGAGAGACCTTCAGCAACGTAAACGGGTTTTGAGAGATCAGGGAGGGCGTACACCTATCAAGTCAGTAGCTGTAAATTCGATGAACGACGACACTTACATGTAGTGCACCCGTAGAGCTGAGCAAAAACATCATGATCTTCTCGGTCTCCTTATCGCTGGCATTGAGTTGGAAAGCGCCCTTTGTATCAGCGTACAGGCATCCAGCATGCCACTTTGTGTTTTGTAGTGTAGCATCCATCTTTTCCACCTCTTCGAGCTCATTGTTGCTGTCGATTTGAGCTAGCATAAGACTGCTGTCATCGCGGACGAGGAGCAGGTAGGGATCAACAATGCTGGCGCTTGTGACTCTTGGTTCTGCGCCGGTCTCCTCATCCAGCATAGGTAGAATCTGAGTAAGTCCAAGATCTGAAACAGTCAGTATATGTATCAATTACTTGGTAAAACAACTTACCTCCATCGTAGGATCGAACTTCAGACTTGAGAACCTGAATGATCCTCATCTGCTTGCCCATTGTCCCAGCCTCGACAGTAAATCCAGCCGCAGGGTCAAACTCGGTATCCTTTAGCGTTTCGAAGCCCGCACCAGTAAGGGCATACACGTCTGATGTCTCGTAACCGTCGAGATCGACCTTTGCCACAATCATGTATTTATCGTGTTGCGCAAAAGCCTCGTACTCATCGCCAACACCAGCACTTCCTCCAAGCGCTTTAGGCAGTGGTTTGTTGACAGACATTGTCCAGAATCCTCGAGCCTCTGGGAATTCGAATCGTCCAATGATCTTAGGTTGGATGTTTCGGTTGAGAATGGCCAGGGACCCAGCCTTTCCTCGTCCGACGATACACGCAAGATGAAGATCCGACACAACACCATCCGAAAGAGTCATTTCTTCGCTGTCGGGAAGGAATGATGCTTTCCCAGGAGTTAGGTCCTTAATTGGCGCAATGCTGAGAAGGGTATCGTGGATGCGGAAGCTCAATTCGCCTGATCTGCCTCCTCCGTTGAGTGCCTGAGCTGGTTTGGTAGCCGCAGACTCAGTACCGTAAAGATCATCATCCTCATCGTCGTCATCTTCAAGATCCAGCTCGTCCACGTCAAGCGCAATGTCGGTATCAATTAGACGAGGTTTCCTTCTCTTTTCTTGTCCCATCTTCCTTGTCCAGCCCAGCACCACAGAGTCGCCCATTTCACTACCGACAAAGAAAGCGTTCTTGCCAAGCTTGGATGCTGTTGATGCTCGGCTCTTGAGGACATTGCCTCCGTTTTCGTCTGTGACCATCTTGATGCTGAGCCCAGAGACTGTTCGACCATCGATCTGGAATGACACAATAGCAATTTGACCATCGTTGAGAACGAGTAACAATTCTCCGTTTTCGATATGTAGTTTCTCAACAACACAGTGCTCTAATCGCAAGTTTAGATCCTCTTGATCTGTCAGACTAAAAGATGTAATCTGTCGAGCCATTGAGTTCACAGCAACACCATTGGCTTTGCCCGACTGATCAACATGGATCAGCTCATTCTCTCCGATGAGCAAAGCACCACCAACTGGCGCCGGCAAAGCAAGAATCTTGAATAAATCTCGGGGAAGGTCGGTAACAGAGAGAATGGTTGTTGAAGCTCGCTGTTGCAGGTCTAGCGTAAACACCTTGTATGTAAGATGATCTTTTTGCCCAAGAGAGTGCGCGCGTTCCTGGCTGGACGACAGGATACCAAATGTTGGTTCTCTGTACTCATGCAGAAAGGCAAAGTGCACGGGATGAAGCAGACTGGGATCAAGAAGCGGAAGACGGAGGACAAAAGATGGTGTATATGGTGGTTCTAATGTGTCGCTATCTCCATTGGCGACTGTAGCAGTCTCCTTGACAGGTCGTGGCCCGTCGAGATCCTCATCCCAATCATCCATCTCCAAGTCTTCTTCCGTCTGTCGGAATGGCAGAATCGCGATGTTGCGCGAACCGAATTGAAAGGCAGCGCATCGACTGCTAGGATCGGCTTCAAGGTAATTCGTATACTCGTCAAAGGAAACTTCCCACGGCGCACCATGTAGCTCCTCTTTTTCGTAGTAGTGGATAGAAATGGTCTCCAAGGTACTCTTCTCAGGGTCCCACACAACCATACACAGCTTAGCAGCCTTGTACGCTATCAAAAGAGCCTCGCCACCACATTTCGAGTGTTTGGTCTTGACCTTGGCTAGGCCTGTGACTGCTCCAGCAAGTGGAAGCTCTGCGACAAGGACAAGCTTTGTGTTGTTTGCTCGATCGGTCTTGACAATCATCGACTCGCCGCCAAGAAAAGACGACTCAAGACCATCATCATCGTTTGCGCGGTGATCGAATTCGGGTTCAGGCTTTGTAGGATGAGCAGGTTGGTTCTCGGGATCGAATTCGGCGGATATGGTCTTTGTTGTAAAGATTTGGAGTAGGGATCCCTTTGCGACAACAAGATTGTTCGCTGTAGCTGAAGTAAGAGATACGATTAAGGAGTGCGTGACAGCTGAAGGAGCTGCGAGCTCGGTGTAGGCCTGCATTTCAGAGAGACCATTCTATTACGGTCGAGAGAAAAGAATTGGGTTGACCGTTGTTACGGTTGGTCGCGATGCTTGTATTGAATTGACCTAAAAGAGTAGAGCTTAAGCTCAGGACGGATTATCAGTGACCCGTCCTCCGGGTAGTCCGCTGTAATACAGCGGAGATCTCTAAAACAACAGGGAGGTAAAGCATCCCCACTTGAGTAACGCTAGCGTATAGATTGCGTCACGAAACATCAACTGCTTAAGGTCGAGCTTTTGAGCTAACAATTAATACGATCGAATCTTGTTTTCTATCAACTTGCTCTTCTCTGATTGAGTAAAACTCATCACGCTGCTACACCGATTTATCCCGCTTCTTTAGCGACGTCACCCTTGTTTTGATAGATCTCCCTTTAAATCCCCGCGATCTGCCACCAAATCCGCCACGGTCGCGACCTAGTTTAGTAGCTACTACAACTGCATTGTTGATCTTCGTTAGACTCATCATCAGCGTCGCTACTATTCATCATGGCCCACGCAGGCCTCGTCCAGACCAGTTTGATCTGGGTCGCTTATGCCGTCGCTGTAGGCCTCTGCCTGATTGCAGCCATCATCACCACATTCACATGGCAAACTCCTCGTGAACGATCCGCCGTCGTCAGTATCGTCGCTATTATCAGCTTGACTTCCCTACTCGCTACGGTCCTACTACTACCCGTCGATATCGCCCTCGTTTCTGCCACTGCCTCTGCAACACTTGGTGCCAAGAAAGATTGGGCCACTCCCGAACGTATCGATAGTATCCTCTACACACTCAAGGTCGTCTACTACAGCTTGTACAGCTTCGATGCGATTCTCTGTCTGATCGTTATTCCTTTTGCCTACTTCTGGCACGAGGAGTATGACGAGATTGAGGTAGAGGAGGAGGGTCGAACACTAGGCAGCCGCTTCCTGGCCGCAGCCAAGTACACCCTCTTCTTCGTTGCATTCGTTGTGGTTCTGTTTCTGCTGGGCTTCTTTGTTCCTGCCGCTGGCGACAGCTCTCAGTCCCACTGGGATCTCGACTACTTCAAGAAGCTCGTTGCTCAGAACCATGGTGAAAAGGCTTTGACTTTTGCCCTGGGCCTCTTGCTCACCATGGGTACTTTGCTCTACGTTGTCTACACCGGTGCCGGTCTCGCTCTTCTCCCGGTCTCCTTCATCAAGGCTGCACCTTCAATCTCGGCTCCTCAACTTCACCAGTCAACCACTTCTCAGCTGGAACAAAACCGTGAACGTCAGCGACAGATCGAGATGCGCAACGCCGGTCGACAAGAGGAAATGTCCCGAAAGGATCAACGCGAGTTGGATGCTTTGGTCAGAGAGGAACAGACACTGGTCCGACGTGAAAGACTCGCAGCTGAAGCTCAGGGTGAAGGCCACAGCAAGGTCTATCGGGCTTGGCTCAAGGTGTGCGCCGTCTTTCGACCTGTCAAGCTTATCGGTGGAATTCTTCTGCTGCTCCTTTCTGTTCTTATCTGGGTGTCTATGCTCATTACTGGCATTGACAAGGCTAAGAACTCGGTCTGTAAGCAAAAGTGCGGTTACATCCTGGGCCAGATTCACGTCTTCCAACCCATGAACTTTATCTTTGTCAAGGCTGCCAAGGCTTTCCCTGTCGACTATATCCTCATGGCTCTGCTTGTGCTCTTCTTCTTCAGCAGCTCTATCTCGGGTATCGCGACTGTGGGCATCCGATTCCTTTGGGTTCGCATCTTCCAGATTCGCAAGGGTAGAACAGCGCCTCAAGCTCTTTTGATTGCCACTGTCATGCTGGGATTGATCATCTTGGCTATGAACTACGGCATTGCCATGCTGGTGGCACCCCAATATTCTACCTATGGAACTCAGACATTCTGCACCAACGAGCCTGCCCACCCTGGCGAGCAACCCGACTGCAGAGGCCACTCGGACATGATTCACGCTTGTTCCGAGGCACTCAAGTACAAGCACGCCAAGGATGTTTGTACCCCATCAGTGATGTCAACGTTCCTCAACCGCATCACCATCACATGGCCATTCTTTGGTCTGGTTGACTTTTGGGCTCAGTTTGCCTTCCTTGGTGTGTTCCTCGTTGTCTTCATTACAGCCCTTTTCCGCACACCCAAGCTCGACCTTTCTCAAATTGATGAGGAAGCCGAGGCAGATGAGGAAGAAAGCCTTCTCGCGTCTACTGGTAGACGCTTTGGTGCTACATGGCAGGACGTCAGAGGAAAGGTTAGCTCAGGAAATGACTCTACGAATAACGGTAACGGATCGCAATCCGCTGCTTGATTGGTTTCACGTATAAAATAGTTCAAGTTTTTCAGATTGATGGAGGTATTGTTTAAGCGCAACAACATTGATGTTTTGGAGTTTGTTAATTGGCATGTTTGGGTATCTGTCTTTACGCACATGTTTTGAGAAAGAATAGCTATGAACCCTGGAATCGAATTCGTTAAGCTCCGAGTGCCACCTTTCTCTTTTCCTTCTTCTCCGTCTTTTTATCTTTTGTGAATTGCACCGCTTTGTGACTTGTCTCGTCAAACCCAGCTTGTGGTCCACGATGCATCTCGTACCAGCACCGCGTGCAGTAAACGTCATCATCGCACCCAGGACATCGTAGTGTCGCATCCTCAAGACAAACAGTACACCAGCTTTCTACATCGTCGTCGGCGTAGTTTGTACGTGTAGTTAGACGATTTACTGGTTTTCCTGAGGGTTTGGATGTTGGGACAGAGGGTAAGGCGAAGGATGATTCGGCATCTGGAGATGGGGCGCGCAAAGCGGCGAGACGGGCGGTTATGTCGTCTATATCTGCGCTGCCTGCACGAGCCGAGGAAGGAATCTCGTTGAGGTCAGAGGGAACTTCTGGCAGTGCGATATTTGTCTCTGTATCGTTGGGTCCAGAGTCAGACGTCGGCTCTGGAGATTTCGTCTTTGCGAGAGCAGCGTCTACTTCCACCTCATCGCGAAAGCGAGCGATGACTTGATCGACGTCCTTGTTCATGGCCTCTCCGTCAGAATCATCCGAGTCATCTTGTTTTTCGTCTGTGTCTTTCGGTATTGCGTCTGCAAGTTGCTCTAGTAGGGCTTTGACCTGTGCATCGTCTGGTTCTGCGCTGAAACCTTCTTCTGGCTTAACATCGCCTAGAAGTTCCTCCAGTGTTTGGTCATCTGTCTGAAACATTGATTCATCTTCTTCATCTTTAGGCAGTTCCTTTTGGGTCGTAGTTTCAGGTTGAGATTTGGGCTTTGATGACTTTTGGGTTGGTGGAGATGGTTCATCGCTGCGTTCTCGCAAGGACTTGAGACGAGCGGCGAGTGTATCTTCACGAGTAGGAGTCTTTTTCCTCTCGATAAGATCAACTTTTATTCTGGAACCATGTTAGTTTGTGAGTGATATGAGGTTGGGGATGAGTTTACTCTGTTGATACGGGTTTGTCGGATCCTGCGCTTTTGCCTCGTAGGGCATTTAGGCGATCGAGGAGGGACTTGTCGAGATCGTTGGGCATTGTGAGATGACGTTAGAGATGTTGTCGGTGGAGTTTAGATTGATTGCTTGATGTTGAGAGATGAATGGGATGAGATGTATTGGTGAAGAGGTTGAGGCTCTGACGTGTAGCGGGGGCGGGGCATGGTCTTTCATCGTCTTGGCTCTGGGGAGAATGATGGTGATGCCAAGTATTGGACTTGAAAAGAAGAGTCTTGGTGTGAATACATCAATTATAGAGATTCAGACTTTGAATCGTTTTTTATGCAATCTTGTGTCTTTAGTTCATGATGGCTTCATTATCTGATTTGGTGCAGGGTCCTTGCGACGGAAGCTGAATAAAGTTACTCGTCAATCTATGTGGTAATAATGACTTGATCAACAATGTCCCTTGATCCTGATCTCTTGGCACTGAATCCTTCCAAACTTTGACCAGTATAGACTGTGATGTAGTGAGCGAGCAGGATTTAATCCTGCGACGCGCGTCTACATGCTGACTGCTGAACATACGCAAGCCATACCAACCTGAGGCCTAAGAGACAAAATGAGTAGATCAGCTTATGATATTTAAACCGTGCTCTTAGGCTATTTATTTTGGCATCCTAACGCTTAGGGGCTAACTTTAGGTTCTGTTGCCCACTAACCGATGCTTTGACCCCTGAACGTCCGTGGAATTCGATAGTGGATCAGTGCCTGGACCGGTACCTATTTTAGTGCATCACCCCTTATCTAGTCGCTATCGTCGTCAATCACAGCACTAAAGAAGCAATTAAAGGAATGAAGTCTGACCGGGCATGACGAATCTTTCATAAACGTATTTACTATACAATTGTTTATTCCCACCGTCGCCATGTCCTTCTATATTCATTTCTCGTCATGTTTTCCTTTCAATCCCCCGGTGCGAGATCTGTAAAGATCACAGCACTTATACTCTTCGTCTGGCTTCTCATAGCCATCTTCTACAACTATAGCGATGTTTCCTTTTCTACTCCAACGCCTTTGCGAAATATATATACAGGCACTTCTGGAAACTCGAATCTAAAAAGTATAGAGTCTATTAGACTTGGCGCACAGTACTTTGTAGATTATCCGTTGAAGGACGAGCCGAAAGAGATATTCGGAGAATTGGGTCAGAGAACGCAACTATTACGAATGTGGATTGAGGAATTGGCGGGCCATGAAACGAACGAGAAGCAAGAGACAGCAGAGATTGTTGGGCATTTGGTCCAATCTCTATTCCCATGGCTTAACTCGATAAATGGTGTTTCGCCGCCTCTGGCTAACATCTACGACCGACTTGATGTCCCATACAAAACAATGAGCGCAAAAGGCTATACTGCCCCAGCTGGAATTGTCATTCCCACTGGCGACAAGACCCTCCGATTCGCATGTCATCTCATCGCATCTCTGACAGAAGCCCACAACACATCCCTTCCTATCCAGGTCGTATACGCCGGAGACGATGATTTGTCCGCCCAAGGGAGAAAGAAGATCCAACAAGCAGCTAACGGTGTAGAGATTGAGATGCTGGACGTCCTCACTGTTTTCAACGATACATCTCTCAAACTTGCAGAGGGAGGCTGGGCGATAAAACCGTTCGCTGCATTAGCAAGCTCCTACGAAAAAGTCATTCTTCTGGACGCAGATGCAGTATTCTTCCAAGACCCGCAACGACTTCTCCAACAAGACCGATTCAACGAGACTGGGGTGTTACTCTTCCATGATCGACTCCTTTGGAAGAATGGGTTTCCTGATCGACAAGATTGGTGGCATGATCAGATCAAACATCCCAGCCCCGAAATAGACAAATCACTTGTATGGACGGAACGCTATTCTGAAGAGGGAGATTCGGGTCTTGTGGTAGTTGACAAGTCCAGGCTTGATGTCCTGCTTGGATTGATACATATCGGATGGCAGAACTCGGATAGAGTGAGGAACGAAGTTACGTATAAGATTACGTATGGTGATAAAGAGAGTTGGTGGATTGGGTTCGAGGCTACAGGATCGAAATACTCTTTTTCGCCACACTATGGTGGTATCGTGGGTTGGTTGAAAGACGCACCAGACGACAAGAAAGAAGAAGTTCGCGTGTGTAGCTTCGTTATAGCGCATGTGGACCAAGACGAGAAATTGCTTTGGTATAATGGCGGTTTACTCAAGAACAAAGCCGTCAATCAAACGGAATTTGAAGTCCCGACGCATTGGATGATTGATCAGACTTGGCACAAGGGTGGAAGCAAGAAGGATATGAGTTGTATGGCTGGAAAGACAGCCAGTGAGTTATCAGCCGAAGAGAAGGATATTTTGAGGAGGGCGATTGATGTTGCTAAGGATGTTGATGAGAAGTTGGATCTCATACCATCTACATAGACTAGAAGGAATAGTACAACATTATGATTAGCAATTGAATGATTCAGTATTATGTCATATTTATGAAAGCAAATGGTTATTCTTTATTGTATTCTGGGTATTGTTATCTGTAGCCTGGCATCAGGGTACTTGAAAAGTAGTCTGCCCGGAGCATAAGAGACTAAACTACTAGACCACTTTATGCTAATTAGACTATACTTCTTAGGTTATTTATTTTTATCGTCTAAAGCTTAACTGTCAATTCTTCTGCTACCGATTGTCTGGGCTGCAGAATAGGTCGGATTTTGAACGAATTTCCCGACTCCGGAACGGTTCAAGAAAGTCGGGTCCGGAGTGGGTCCCCATCGTCGGACAATTCACTAAGACCGAAGACCGTCATCCGGAAAACAATACGACAAACCTCCGAAAATGAGCCCATAACAATAGGAATAAAAGAACATATAAGAAAGAAGAGTTTACTGGATTAACAGATTATACTCAAACACTCAATTCCTCATTTTCACAGACATGGCTCTTCGTTTATCACTATCCCGGCCTGTGCCTCTAATCGCAACTATTACAGCCAGCGCAATTGGAGTAGGCGTCCTTTCAAGAATGATGTTCAGCACAGCAGTCGCAGAGTCGAATTCTCCCCAAAAGATTTTCGGTGGCGGATTTGCTTCGGTCAAGTTGCCGCTGCATAGTTCTGAGTATGAGTCTCATGACACAAAACGATTGCGGTTCAAGCTACCACAAGAAACTGCCATCACTGGACTTCCACTAGCGTGTATGTTGCCCTTAAAAGATGGTATTATTTGGATGCTGATTCAGTTTTGTAGCGGCTTTGTTGACGCTCACTTGGCCCAAGGGGTCGTATTTACCCACACCTCGACCTTATAGTCCCATCTCACCATCAGGTAAGGTCTATCTACACCATAAAATAACACGGCTAATATCCACAGATGAACCAGGATATATGGATCTTCTCGTCAAGAAATACCCCAACGGCAAAGGCAGCAACTATCTCCACTCCCTCCAACCAGGTGATACCCTCTCCTTCACATCCCTCCCATCAAAACCAGCATGGAAGACCAACAACGTTCCTCACATAACCCTCATAGCAGGTGGATGCGGTATCACACCTCTTTTTCAACTCGCCCAGGGCATTCTTCGCGACCCCGAGGAAAAGACACGTATGACGCTCATCTTTGGGGCAAAGTCAGATGAGGATGTTCTACTCAAGAAAGAACTTGATGGATTTGCAAAAGAGTTTCCTGAGAGGTTTGAAGTCAAGTATACTGTCAGTAATCCTGCACAGGGGTCGGAGTTGAGGAAGGGGAGGGTTGATAAGACGTTGTTGGAGGAGGTGCTGGTGTCAAAGGTCGGGAGGGATACAAAGGTTTTTGTGTGTGGACCTAAGGAGATGGAGGATGTGCTTGTTGGAGGAAGGGGGAAGGGAGTTTTGGGAGAGATTGGATTTGAGAAGAGTCAGATTCACAAGTTTTAAGACTGTCAAAGGCAGAGTTGGAGGGGAGTCCTGTTTTATAGATATGACCTGCATCTAGAGTACTGTAATACTACACCCATGAACTAAGCTTTAGACTACAAGGAGATATGATCCGAGTACCAACAGGAGCGATATAGCAATAGCAATAATTATCTTCTTTTGTTATTTACACCCTAATTACCAGTAGCGATACTATGTCTAACACCCAAACTTCCATTAGTCAAAAGCGATCTCGCATCCTTCCTCACAACCTCTTCATCCGCCTTCTCCAAAGCAGATCCATAACCACCACCACCAGGCGTAAGAATAATCACCCGATCACCCACTCCGAAATGCGACGTCTTTCTCGGTCCTAGGGAAACCTGTCTTGTAGCACCCGTAACAGGGTCTTTTCGAACCCAGATATTCTGTCCTCTCTGTCCCTCACCTCCTCCTTCAAGTCCATACGGCGCCGTAACTCTTCGATCGGTAAGAACAGAAACTTGAAGAGGCATGCGGAATTCCATCTCGCGAACACAACCATCTCCTCCGCGCCACTTGCCATCACCGCCGCTTCCCTTACGAATGGAGAATTCGTGGAGAATAACGGGGTATCGCTTCTCGAGAATTTCGGGGTCTGTGATGCGTGTGTTTGTCATGTGAGTGTGTACTGCACTGGCACCATGCCATCCTAATCCTGCACCTGCGCCTCCGCAGATAGTCTCGTAGTAACCGAAGCCTTTTGTTACTTCGCCTGTAACAGGGTCTGTGCCGCCGCAGCCGAAACTGAGGTTGTTCATTGTTCCTTGGGAAGCGGCTGCTGCGTTAAACGCACGAAGGACGAGATCGGCTACCTTTTGGGATGTTTCGGTTGTACAGCCTACGGTTGCTGCTGTTGGGGAGGGTGAGAGGATGGTGTTGTCGGGGCAGATGACTTTGATGGGTTTGAGACAGCCTTGGTTTAGGGGGATGTCGGTGCTGATCATTGATCGGAGACAGTACTGGAATTTGTTAGCTATTGTTTTGTAGTGCAGTTGGGTTACATACCATGATGACAGAGTATGAGCAGGTAGGAGGCGCATTCAGGTTACCAGAGTGCTCAGGACCAGTACCAGTAAAGTCAAACACTGCTTCACCAGTCTCTTTGTCAATAGTGACCTTGAGCTTGAATGGAATACCGTCGTCATTATACTCGGTTGCCTCAAGAACACCATCATACTTGGCAGCAATCTGTTTCAGTAGATCCCTCACAGACTGCGCAGCGTTATCTTGGATAGCATGCATATACAACTGGACAACAGGCCAGGTAAACTCCTTAATCAGAGATCGAATCAGCTCGATACCCTTCTGGTTGGAAGCCACAGCAGCTTTGAGATCGGCAATGTTCTCTGTAAGAGTACGTGTGCCACTGCAACCAGGGAATGAAGCAGGGTCTTCGTAGAGGTGCTTAATAAGACCGGCCTCGTCAAAGATGCCTTGATCGATCATCTTGAAGGACTCGATAGCTGCACCTTCTTGCCAGAGTTCCGTCGAGTTGGGAGGCATAGAACCAGGGACGATTCCGCCAATATCGGCGTGATGACCACGGTTGGCAACGAAAAAGATGATTTCCTTGGGATTCTCTTCATCGTCGAAAACGGGTGTGATGGTGGTGATGTCGGGGAGATGGGTACCGCCTGCTTGAGGGTGGTTGCTGATGATAACATCACCTGGCTTGAGCTCACCGGCTTTGTATCGCTTTGCTTGGTATGCGATGGCAGTGCTCATGGAGCCAAGATGGCTGGGAACGTGTGGTGCATTGGCCACAAGGCCTCCGTCGGCAGAGAAAATGGCGCATGAGTAGTCCAGTCTCTCTTTGATGTTGACAGAGATGGATGTCTTTTCCATGGTGTGACCCATCTGCTCAGCGACAGTCATGAAGCGATGTCCAAAGACACTAAGTGTAACAGGATCGACGGTTTCAGTTGCTACATTTTGCTTCTCTGCCTTGTCGACCTCGAGAATGACGTGCTCTGGAAGAATAACTCCCTTGCTTAGGTGGTCTACCACGATGGTCTGTGTCTTGTCGATGATCATGGCTGGACCTGTGATGTGTACACCAGGACTCATGGACTTGAGCTCGTAAACAGGAGTCTCTGTCCAACCGTGTGTCTCAAAGAAGATCTTTCGGGAAAAGATGGGCGTAGGAACGGGAGTCAGACCGTCGGATTTGTACTTCTTCAATTCCTCGAAAGGACTCGAGATGTTGAGAACGCGCGACTTGCCTACACTTCGAACACGGACGTCATCAATCAGGATATTGCGAGATTGGGAGAAGCCAAACTCTTGTGTATGTCTCGCTGTGAAAGCCACACCTGCTTCAGCGACGTTCTCTGATACAGAGATCATAAGAGAAGTGTCGCTTCCTTGGTAGCGCATGTTGAGGAAGTACTCATGCTGAGTAGACGCGGCATCGAAGCCTTGCGATTCAAGACCTTGAGAACCCTTGGAGGAGAGAGACTCCAGACGGGCCTTGATCTCGGGGACGACCTGTTCGGAAAAGGTAATAGCGGAGGGCTCTTGGTTCTCTACTACGACGTCGGCGAGGGCCATGCCGTAGGCAGAAAGAATACTGGAGTAACATGGGATAATGGCTCGCTTGATCCCGAGATCTCGAGCAATGAAAACAGCGTGTTGACCACCTGCACCACCAAAAGATCCAAGATTATGACTCGAAGCACCATATCCACGACCTTCGCTCAATGTTCGAATGGGTCGAGTCATGGTAGCGTTGGCAATAGAGAGAAATCCAAGGGCCAATGTCTCGGATGTAAAAGGTTCGCCACCATCCTTTTCCTTGTTGACTGTCTCTGTTAAAGCGGCGAACTTTTCTCTGACAATCTCCCGATCTAATCGTCGAGGGAAAAAGTCGGGGATGATTCGGCCAAGGAGAAAGTTGGCGTCTGTGACTGTCAAAGGACCTCCGCGACCGTAGCATGCAGGACCAGGGTTGGCGCCGGCGCTGCTTGGTCCGACTTTGAGAAGGCCATTCTCCCAGGCCAAAATGGAGCCACCGCCTGCAGCGACTGTGTTGATGTCAAGCTGGGGAGTCTGGATTGTGACTTCGGCAATGGTGCTCTCAAATATGTGTTCCAAAGCACCAGAGTATCGAGCGACATCTGTACTTGTACCGCCCATGTCAAAGCCTAAAACAGGTGTACCGTCGGCGTCATCGTAGCATGTCCTGGCCAAACCGACGACGCCTCCCGCAGGTCCACTGAGAACACCTCTTAGTCCAGTGAACTTGGACCAGCTTGTAAGACCACCGTCAGACTGGCAGATGAGAAGTTTATTAGCACTCTCGTCTTCCAATTGACCCTTAAAGTTCTTTCTGAAACCATCCAGGTATGCAAACGTCATTGGCGTGAGGTATGCATCTGCGACCGCGGATTGACTTCGAGGCACGTACTTGGCCATGGACTGGAGAACCGAAGAGGCAGAAACTTTGAAGCCCATTTCTTCAGCGAGCTTGGCAACTTGTAGCTCGTGGTCGGGGTATGTGTAGGAGTGCATGAGACCGATAGCAATGTTCTTAAAGCCTTGGGTTTTGAGGTTTTCGAGGTCGGCGCGCACAGCGGTAAGGTCTGGCTTCTTCATAATCCTCACAACTTCGCCTGTTTGACCAACGAAGAGAGCTGGATCTGAAGATACATCGATTGGACCATTTGAAGGTGCTTCGCTTGCACCTTCAATTGTAACACGCTCATCAACCTCAACGACAGTCTCGTAGAGTTGCTCGAGACGTCTGACAGACAAATCAAACAGGTCTGGTCTTGCCTGGTTTCCGATAAGGAGAACATCTCTGAATCCCTTTGTGGCGAGGAAAGCTACGCGATCACCCTTTCTTTCAAGGAGTGCATTTGTAGCGACTGTTGTTCCCATGCGGATAGACTCGATGGGGTCAAGGTCCAGTAGCGAACCCTTTGGTATTGTGGTTTCTAGCGCATTTTCTAGAATTTGTCGGATACACTCTGTAGGCGCGTCGTCGTATTCATCTGGACAGACGGACAGAATCTTGAAGACAATGTGCTCTTGTCGGCCGGGGACTTGAGCCCAGGCGTCTGTGAATGTGCCACCGCGGTCAATAGCGATGCGGATACCTTGAGATGACATTGTGGGAATAAAAGCTAAGGGGGTATCGGAGAAAGAGGAATGAGTTGAATGAATTGCATTTTGATGTTTGGCTTGAAGATGTCTGTATTATAGTAAAGAGTCTGGGGTAGTGTAAGTGAGTGGATTCAGTGCCTGCCACCAAACACGGGCAATTGGTTCCGAGATTGATTACTCATCGGCAATTTTGTGTCAAGCCGACTTATCACGACCGGCAACTTTGAACTTGCCGATGACATCTCCACTCGGCATCATCAACGTTCCCAAATAAGTCTTTGTTACCCCGGACAGACCCGCATATCCCCAGACCTTGGGAAGCATTTTCATTACTCAATCACTTTACCAGGAGACTGGACGAAATGAGCACAAGACGTCCAAGAAGACTTTTAGCTGCGTGAGAACGAATCCTTGATTATCAGTGATTAAGTCTGATTGTTATTAGTTGTCATAGGTGCCATTCACAAAAGATCAAGTGTTCTGGTGACAAGCCGTGTCAGACTTGTAGTTCAACAGGTAGGGCGGGTGAATGTGAGTTTCCCGCCAACAAAGAGCGCAAGATTCCAGTTTCTGAAAGGTAAATACCTTCAAGTAACCATGAATTTAGTCCAAATCTATGCTGACAATATGTTTGGTAGTTATCTAAAAAAGCTTGAAGAAGATAGTCGAAAGCTCCAAGCCATTGCCAGTCACAACCAAACACCAGAGACCGAAACAACCTTTACTCCCCTGAGCAATCAACGCCTTCAAAATGATTACGATCCGCCATCACTATCGAAAGAAGAGAGTAACCTCTTCAACCCGCTCTTCGATAGACAACCCGAAAAGCCCATCCAAGAACGGTCCTCCGAACCAGGCTTCATAGGTGAAGCTTCATGTGCAGCCTTTAGTAACCGACTCTTATCATGTCTCGACGACACATATACTCCTTCGACGGCTGGTCTATCGAATTATCACCGACTCAGCACATACACAAGGTTACCTGCGGCACAAGGCTCGGAGTTTCCAGAGCGAATGCACGTCAAGTTACTCCTCAACGTGGCGCGACGTTTCATTGGGAATTACCACCCTTTGTTTCTTGAAGTCACCTTTATGAAGGAGATTGATGCTGTGTATCGAAGAGAGATGGTACCTTCGTCGCTGTGGTTATGCAAGTTTTATGCTCTTATGGCTTTGGGTGAGATATATACCCATAGAAGAGGCGTTGGGGATAACAATAGAGTGCCGGGAACGAATTATTACGTGAGAGCTGTGAGTTTATTGCAGGAGAACCAAGATTATTACGAAGAGCCGTCTTTGATGCAAGTAGAAGTCCTCACACTACTGGCAAGTATCCTTTTTTTTTTCTGGACTTCATTCGTTAACATTTGGACAGGCCTGGGCTTCCAATGTGTTAGGTCGCATCCGAACAGCATACTGCTACAGCGGCATCGCCATGCGTCTAGCCCAAAGTCTTGGTATGCATAGATCTGCGTCACGACACACAACCCTCACACCAGTGGAACGAGAAAGTCGAACACGGACATGGTGGGTTTTGTACTTTTTCGATCGTTTCTCCGCATCCAAGCTTGGCCAGCCGATTACAGTCAGAGACGAAGATATAGACGTGGAAATGCCGAGTCAGGAGGGTTTGACGAGGGATGAGATGGCAGAGTTTTTGGACCCGCAGAATCTTATCACCAATATTAAGCTGGCGAGAATTATTGGGAATATTTGTGAGTCTTTTACTACAGGCACTCTTGCAAAGGCTAACCTGATTTGTCAGTGACACACATCTACGGTATACCAAAGGCTACGAATGGTCTTTATATCCATCAGGTACATGGTATACTAAAACAACTTCGAGAATGGCACGATGAACTACGCCCCGACATGCGCGTCAAAGAACGTGGAACTCCCAGACCGGTAGCAAGTCTTCACCTTGCATACAACCAATGCATCATACAAACGACTCGCCCCGTCCTACTGCATCTGTTCAAGACACAGTTCCAACTTGGGCCCAAACCAAGAGACGATGCTCCGCCTCGACAAAACGTCTCATCCATCACACTAGCTTTAGCAGAGAGTTGTGTTAATGCTGCACAGGCGTCAAGTCGTATCGTTGAAGGACTATTCCTTGATGGCAGCATCGCAACGTTTGGATATTGGGACGCACATCATATCTTTTCGGCAGCCATGATCCTCATCATGTCAGCCGTCATGAAACCCACAGCTGTAAACTCTGATCATCTCGAGACATTACTGAGTGTTTTACGCTCCTTGAAAAACGACGGAAACATCCCAGCCGTGGACTTTTGCGAAAGATTATCACATATCCAAACTCGAGTTTCAACACTCAGAGCAACGGGTCGTTTAGATGGTGTACCGCCTACTACAAGACCACCTTCGCCGAATGAGAACCTCGATTCGTCTACGGGCCAAAACCAACCGTTCCAAACACCGATGAGCATGGATACAGATTGTAATACTGGGGTTGTTGATTATGATAATGTGGATATCCTAGGAAATCCACTTATTGGGAGCTTTTTGGATGGGAATCAGGTTCAATGGCTGGATATTCTTTTTGCAGAGGATGGAACGCTGAAGGAGTTTGCTTCTGAGATTGAGGATCAGTTTTTGTTTAGGTAGAATGCTGTTTCGCAATTTCTTTTACACGGTAATAAGAGAGAATGGCTTTAAAGCTAGACGGTATAAAGATAAACTGCCTAATCTAATTTCGTCTCTTATGCTTCCACCGGCCAGTTTTATTAATACTCTGAGGAACGGCTAATTGTTCTGGACGAAGTTTGTCGTTGGTCTCTGTTACCCGATCTCGGCATAACTCGCTAAACGATATCATGAGATTATATGGATAAAGATTGTGTTTCTTATCTCGCTGCATCGTTTCATCTTAGCTCATCATACCCACAATGAATGGAAACACGTTATCAATATCTCCGAGAAGGGAGACTAGACCAGAATTGATAACGAACAAGACATCACGGTTGTTGAATCAGATCCTGAAATAAGCTGAGTGGCTTTACATTCCCATAACAAGTCCGAATTCCAGTGCCATTTGAAACCGGCTTGTTGACAATGTGCCTAGAGCATAAGTATCTCACAATTTGACGAGGAATGTAAGCATAATAGACTAGCCCGCTTTTAGAATGTCTGTCAGAAACTCTGAGCACAAATCCGGGGTATCGAAAGGTCTCGATGGCTTGGCTTTATATACCAGCTGAGAGCTGAGTTCATCTTCCTGTTGGGTCTACGATTGGATTATTTCTCTTGGCGCTGTGTTGGTGGTAAAAGCCCCGATGAGAACGATGCATTGGGCGAACCGACTTTAGATATGTGGTGAAACGATATATATATCATGGCCGTGATTGTTATTTCCGTAATGTATTTGATATCTCTCTTTCTCCCGTACGATGTGTTGACCCAAAAATGCTCCCATTTAAAGCAATCGTTACGGTACTGTGGGTTGGTGCAGTCAGCACGTTCCCTACTAGTCATGGCCTTGACAAAAAAGCAATGAGTATGGAGAAACTGAAGCCTGCCAAGGCCTACCAGAGAAACATCTTAACAAATCTCCAGGTGCCATCCCAATTTGCAAGGCTGGTGACCAAAATCTCAAAGCGCTGAGAAGTCACAAGGCTGATGGTTCTGCTTTCTGTTCAACATATCTTCAAACCACCAAGACCTCCACGATCACGCCTGTCATTAGCGCCACAACGACGAAATGGATGACAAGGTCTGTGAGACTAGTTGTTATTCAGAAAGTCCACTTTATAGTCAAACATATCTCCCGAGTTAAAGTAATGAGGACCGCGACGATAACACTCACAAAAACAAAAACTGCTAGTATCACCAACTTCAAGACCAAAAAGATAACAGGCACCCAAACAAATAGGATAACGAATACAGATACGGCTCGAGTGACCAAGATGGGTACAGCCCAAGTCACAAAGCATGTAACTCGGCATTTTACCACCACGGTCACAGCTACCGTCTACACAACATCTACCCAGGACATTACAAGCACTAGTACTATGCAACTCACAGAAGAAGCTCCAACTACTATCACTGTTACGTGAGTCTCTATATTAATCGTGTGTTTTATAGGTATCGGCTGATTGATACCCGCCATAGTCGCACGTAAGCCATAATTACGTCGAGGCCAGGAGACATTTGTTGCTAATATTCAACAGAGAGGACGCTGCTACAACGACAGTGTCATTCGGTAAGATATATAATTCATCCGCTGTAGATGACAACTCATAAATAACTACTTAGAATATACCTGTGGTGCTAGAGGCATTTGGAAGTCTGAGGGTATTGCTCAGCAAATTCTCCTATTCAACCGATTCAGCTTCAGCTCATGCAAGGAATTTTGTTCAACCAAGCTTGGAGCTCTTAGCTTTGTCTATTCAAATTCGATGCCCCAAGCCTACTCAATGTGTTTATGCTTTGGTGTACTGTCGTTCGTAGACCTTCTGACATCCTCAGAAAACTCAGTCCTATAGTACTAACGATGTCCAGGTATGTCAATATGAACCGGGGTTCCAATTCCCAGTTTATCTTTTTCGATATGGCTTGTCCTGCAGAAACAAAGGTATGCTCAAGTCAACTTGGGCATTTTAGAATTAGCTAACCCTTACCTAAAGCCTCTCAAACGAGTCGCGCAGGTCAACAAAAGAATCCCTGCATACATACCGCTCAAGGGTGCTAGCGACGTGAGCAGGGCTTGTTCATGCCATATTACCAACAAACCAGCTGCTCCAGCTACTTCAGTAGTGAAAGCCCTCAAGTTCAAGGCGGTCACGGTAACGAGCCATACAAAGGTTTATAACAAGAGAAGGAAATATATAACCACAACATTTCGCAGGTCCGTTGGTTTAACCTACTTCAAGACTACAACAAAGACAGGCTACAACACTGTAACTGTGACGGACCGTCATAGTGCTACCATCACTCAGCCTGCTACTATCACTGTTACCCATGTCAAGACAGTGACTGTTACGAACGTCCTCAGTGTCCATGTTACAAACCACAACACTATCTACACCACCAACATCAAGACTGCCTTGGAGACCGATCTACAAACTGAAATCGTCACTGAAGTGGATTATTATACCGTCTCCGAATACGACACAATTCCTGTAACCATTACCAAGGCTGAAGTAATAGAACCGCCGCTGGTGACTGTTCATGTGGCAACCACAACTATTTATGGGTAGAAGGTTGAAATGGAGTCTTGTGTCAATAATACTACAACTACTTCAAATCTTTGTCTCCAGGCTTTAAATCGTTGTCCAAGTGTCTAATACTTCCCCATCCCTTCGCTCTCTGCCTCACAATGCCCAAGTCATCCATATTCAATATATCAACCCCAGAGTCTACCAACCACCTCCAGGCAACATCTCTGATGTTGGATGGTTCTGAAGGGGTATCCCAATATCGTGTCAACAAGCCCCTTACTTTAGCTCGGTCAATATCAGTGCCGTACATATCCAAATCAGCGGCTGATTTGTCTTTGAGATGACTGTTCCAGGAATACAACCGAGCATCGCTGAACCGCGTTGATGCAAAGTACGAATTAGCCTGATTATAGCGGTAGGTAGGTTTGCTGTAATCATCGTCTATGCCGATAAGACAACAAAGCTGTGCGTCCAGGAAGATGTCTCTATGGGTTGCGTTCAATCCCATGACGTACTGGAATTGAGCCATACCAGAAGCCACCACCGTCAGCGGCCGCATGATCCTCTCGTTGCCGTTCCAGTAGGTCAAGAAGTCCAAATCTCGTAGGGGCTGTAGCAGCTCATTTAGCTTATCAAAAGGCGCCTGGCCTCCTTTCTTCTGGTCGATCAAAAGAATAAGTGTCTGATCGGGATGACGGTTGTAGACTCCTCGACGGGTGTCATTGCCTGGATTCCGCATCTCTAAAATTCGTTTGATTGGGTCCAGATACATGGACGACAGATTGTTTTCTTTGTGTAGGCCATTTCCAGAATGTCCAACCAGTAGGTCATTGTCTTCAAGGTGAACATCGGCCTCTACGCTAACGCAGCCAGAACCGAGGGCTTCAAAAAGAGGGATGTGTCGGTTTTCGTCGTTGTGTGAGTGGACAGGAACTGGATCGACATTGCGAAGGAAGGCTTGGTGTTGGTCATCCCAAATTTCTGGGCTATTGCGGTTGAGGTTATAGAACAGATTATCATAAGGATCATTCGCAATACGAGCTAATCCATTCCGAAGCCAAACCAAGTATGCCGTTTGACCGATATATCTTATTTGTCAGTCAAGACCAGGTAAGGAGTTGGAACAGAGAGGCTAACCCGAAAACCAAGACAAGAATAATATACTTGGGATAATGTCTTCGGACATTGGCTAAGCATCGTCTGTGTTTTTTAAGATTGATATTTGGACCAGGACTAGAATTAGAGCTTCGATCGGAGGATCCATCAGAGGACTGATTAGAAGGGATAATATATCCGCCGTCGGAAGCCATGGCATACGACATACGAGAGAGAAAGTGGTGTTGAAAAATCATGCATTCCGGGACTACCGGTAAGCACCCTTTAATGGAAATCAGGAGGGTCTGATCTGAGCGTATCGATAAACATAGGGACTCGTAAGCGTATCAAGCTAGCTTCCGCCCGAGATACCATTTAGTGAATGCGCTGTAGATCTAGTGAGCTTCTGGTCTGGTCTTGATCCTTAGTTCTAACCAAAACCCCGCTAAACAATCCTTCGGCTTCCGACATGCCAATCACCTGGACGGATTACGACTTCATTCCAAAGATCTACCTAGGCTGTAGTAAATTGAGAGTAAGAGAGGGCTAAGTAAGTGCGATATAAATATGACAATACCGTAATATTCCATCAAATTGGTCGAGAAAAGTAAGCCGACTGAGGCACGTCACAGGGCCTTGCCGTGTCAATCACTTCTATATACCATCTAGCCCGGATGACAAAGGGAGAGAGGATATCATTGATTTGCTCAAGTCTCAAGTTGCCTTGCCCATACCCCGCTGTAGCTGCCTTGGTTGTCTTACTTTTCTCGACCAATTTGACGGAATATTACGGTACGTTACTGAGAGTCTTGCTTATAAATACCCGGGTATATATATTAATAGCTAACGTATTTGATAAGCGAGCGACGCAGATAAGCGAGCGACGCACTTTTCCCTACCCCTTTCATTATTTACATAACAAAACTACAATAACCTATCTGATCAATTAAAATCACTCACTATACTCTTCTCCGGATGCCTCCAGAACTACCTGACAGGTCCTTGCATTATGCCCGGTCTTGCCGCATATACCACATCGCCGAATACCCGGTCTGACCGACCTTCCTCGACCACCACTTCTCGATGACTCGCCCACTACCTGCATATCAACATCTATCTGATCAATTACTTGTGATACTTCCTCTACAGTTGTAGGGTCTCCTTTCTGTAACCTAGTTCTTTTTGACCTTCGGCGCCGGCTTAGCTTCTCATTTCCCTCGCGAAGGTTTCGGATCTCATTTCTCATAAGGGTAGTCTCATACATAGTTCTCTTTACTGCCTTAGTAAGAGACTGGATAGCCTTAATAATTGACTCTGGAGAGCTACTATGATGCCTTCTGATTCGACTCTCTAGGTATTCAGTCTGAGATTGAGCCTCATTTGCTGTCGTTAGGGTCTTTGAAGTCCAAGGAGTGGAAGGTTCAGCTGCCTCTTTTGGAGGCGATGGGGTCTGTAGCTGCACATCAAGCTTCGAGATGACATGCTCAGGGTCAAAGGGAGCAAGCCCGGCCCCTCTGAAGCCTCCTCGTATATTTCTTTCAATGAAAGTAGCTTTAAAAGCGGCGTGAAAGGCGTCAAAGAACTCGGTCTTGGAAATGTGGGTTATAGAGCATCTGATCAGATGCTCTATCTCTTGCCCATATGCCTTCTTAAGCACTGCAAAGCACCCAACATCAA